ACTTAGGGCATATAATGAATGCAGAAGGACTAAGACCGGAAGAAAAGAAGATTACAGCAATCCGAGATTGGCCACAACCTAAAACTATAACTGAACTCAGACCTTTCCTGGGACTTGCTAGTTATTACAGGAAGTTCGTCAGAAACTTCTCCTTGATAGCTGCTCCTATGAGAAGACTGCTAAAGAAAGAAAAACCTTGGTTGTGGGACAAAGATTGTGAGTCGTCGTGACACCCTTCACGTGTTTTCTCTGACAATATTCATGCGGGCGTTGTCCAGCGGCGGGAAAACGAACTAAAGTCGTTTTTTTTTTTCGTTTCAAGTGTCGTCCAGTGAGCCCCTATCTCGTGGGTGTACCAGCGCTGAATTATGCCATTGGCTTTTTGCCAACAGCACTGAAAACAAAACACATTGGATCCTCCAACTGCAAAAGGCTGAATTATGCCGTTGGCCTTTGCCAACGGCCACAGTGACTGGAAAGAAACTAAGAAAATGGAGCACATACGGCCCGCCAAGTGGCAGGCAGAGAGAAACAGGGGACAGAAAGTCCCTGGATCTGTTGCAGGCACCACTCCTGATAGGTTGCTGTTTCCTTTCTGAAAACAGGATTCTCGTTGTTGGTTTTTTTTTTTTTTTTTTTTTTTTTTTTTTTTTTTTTTTTTTTCGTGGGAATGTACGACGCATCCAATCCTGGGAAGGTGCGGGCGCATTGAAAGGACACAGTCACGCCCTTCTGACAAAACCAAAAAAGAAAAAAGAAAAAACGAGAAGATTTCGGTTACCTTTGAAGGGCGGAGGGTGGGCATAGGGGACGCTCCACTACTCACCACATGAATAAAAGACAAAAAATATGGCGGCGTATCTTCCCATGTTCTAGCAGAAGATCCATTCTCATTATCCACATTTGGTGAGTAGTGGAGCAAGGCCCAAAGTCCCCATAATCATTGCGGGTGCCCGTTGTGACGGGCACAGTTTTCTCTCTGAAAATAGGATCTGTTTTTTTTTTTTTTTTTTTTTTGAATGTTCTTTGTTTTGGGGGGAATGTACTAAGTGCCCTATCCTGAGAAGATACGGGCGCGTCTGAATGTGTACAGTAACCGCCGTCTACACAAAAAACTAAGAAGAGTGTGCTTTCCTTTGGCGAGGGCGGGAAAAGAAACTGAGGGGTGGGTGGGAAAAGCAAGCTTAGGGCCCCTCTGCAAGGAAGATGAGCAATAGCGAACTTCAGCAATCAAACAGCATCATACACATGAGACCAGATAGTCGTGACCTCAAACCAATAGCAGAATTGCATCACGAGTTTCACCAAATAAGAACACAGCAAAAGCTCATAATTGACAATGCTGGAATAGTCTCATCATCATCAACGAAGAACCAATGTCGATATCCTATCTGGCGCTCGGCGCCCAGACTACGAATGGCAGATCCTATCTAGCCTAGACTACAATGCCGCTGATGACGTCAACAGCTCCCCGGAGTACGAACAGATCTCGGACAATGCCGCACGCTTCAAGCACCAGGTATGTCTCTCGTCTCACTCCCAACCTCGTTCCCCAACTCACAGATGCCACATGCACCCAAGGACCACCATGCGCCCCATCCAGCATACAGCAGCGCAGCTCGGCTATGGCTGCCTGCTCCTTCCAGCTCGCCCATGAGCGCGTGAGCCTGGCTAGCGATAGCGCAGCAGCGCTTGCGCACAAAGCAGCCAGTGCCCGAATGCCCAATGCATGGGCAGGCCCTTTCCTAAATGGAAGCGGCCTGCCTGCCTTGCGTGCAGCCTGGCTGCGCTGGGCCCCTGCCCAGAAGCTTCCGGTAGGCCCACAGAGGCTGAGCCCCAGTCCAAACGAATTCAGGCCCAGGGCCTGTGGCAGTTACCCGTGCCCAACTGTTTACAGGCCGAGTTGGGTCCACGCTGCGTATCTCGCCCAGGGCCTGACTCAGATGCATTTGATAAAGGAAGCAGGGCCTGGGCGCTTTCAACCAACTGGCGCTGCGCAACTGCCTGAATTTTCCCCAGTTGTGTGTTGACCCCAAAATTGGCCTGTAGGCCTCGGTCGAGCCTGCCTTCACTTAGGGCGGCTGACTGTACTGCACATAGGGCCCAATAGGGCGCATTGAGGCCCTGTGCCTCGCACCTCCTTCCGGCCCTGTCTGGATGCCAAGCAGGACCTTTAAAAAAGCACCCAGGATTTTTCCGCGGTGGCTCAGGATGGAAGAAATGGACCTGGGATGCCAGAAAAAAAAAGCGGCTACCCCCGATTTCCTGACCATCTGGACCAGAATCCGAACACCTGGACTGGGCACCGGACGCCGGTCGGTCCGGATCCCAGTCCGGGTGTCCGGATCGAAGCTATGGTTTAGTCTCCCTTTCGAGTATTTTTCAACGCGGCCGCAGTGGGCCGTCAGATGTTCAGATCGAATGGGAGGTACCTGTGCCTGCTCGAAATCAAGCCCGCTGCTAACTGACTTTGGCCCGAATGACCGGTGCATCTGGCAAGTCTCTGTGGGAACGTCCGCCCGTGCTTTTCCCGTTTGGACAGTAGAGTGGCCAGGCTCTTAGTTGTGACCAAGGAAAAGGAAACGCGCCAACCGGCCTCGCTCCACAACTCGTAACCAAATGTGCAAAATGAGAGTGAAGCTTCTGCTAGAACATGGAAAGATACACCAGCATATTTTTTGTCTTTTGTGGGTTTCACCTTTGAGGTAGCAGTTGCAGATCCCAGATCTCGATCCCCAGACCTTGCCCTTACCCGTGTACAGTAACGATGACCCGAGTGTGCTTGAAGCCTTGAACCCACGACCTGTGTTTTGGAAGCCGCCTGTTTGTTTGCTGTAGGTAGTGTGGTCGTCGGGTCTTGAACCGTAGGTCTGTAGATTAGAGGTCTTAGCAGTGGTAGAAGTCGTAGCTGCTACAGTGTTGAAAGGTCAAGTCGTAGCTGCTACAGTACCGAAGGGCCAAGTCAGCAAGTACCATGTGGGACTGTGTGCACCCCGGGCCCCGTGGAGAGGGGCAGACCAGCAACGATCCCAAGTATAAACAAAGAGGCAGTGATCAGTCATGCATTCATTCTGCCTCTGAGCCGTGCGGGAGCGCTGTCGAAGTGTCTTGTGAGCGGAGGTCTGCAGGTGCCCGTTGACGAAGAGGGCTAAGAGGAGGAAGATCAGCCATAGTTGATAGTTAGTCAGTAGAGGAGAGAGACAACGGCCATAGCCGCCACGTCAGTGAGATTAGAGTGTCACTAGGTGTGTGTGTGTGTACGTGTGTGTGTATGTGTGTCTGTGCGTGTGAAGTGTGAGTGTGTGTGCAGGACATCCAGGGAGATCCAGGGTGTGTGTTCGAAAAAGTTGCTGAGAGTACAGAGGTCGGCCATAGCCGACCAAGACAAAGTTTGAATCTGAGCTGCGTTCTTAGCTTCATTATCTCTGAGCTTTGGGTGGGCACAAGTCGCCAGCTTGATCGTCGTTTGTTTATACGCATGCTGAATGTCGGGAGAGACAAGTCCGATTGCAATGAGGTGAGTAGCGGAGGCAGGCCCCCTATATGGGAAAAGAAAAAGAAAACGCACAACTTGAGAACGAAGAAGAAGAAAAGACGTGACGGAAAAGGGAAAAAGTTCAAGAAACAAAATGGCAGTGTCTTCTGACAGCATGCGGGGAAAAAAATGGCACCACCGCGATCCTCTGACAATCTCTAACACGGATCGCGCCACACTTAAAGCAAACACCGTTCGACAACGCTCTATCGACGGCCACAACACAGTATTTCCGCCCCAAAAGCTAATCCCACAGAGAACCACGTGTCCACCAGGTAGGCCCGGACACATTTTGTTAGAAACCACCGTTTTGGGCAATCCCGGCCCTCGGTATCAAAATCTTAAGGCCAGAAGTCGCCGAAAAGAACAATAATCAGCGCGCAGCGTTCCCTCCGCGGCCCACTTAGCTTTAGTAGTTTGTTGTAGATAGGATCATTTTTTTTTCCTCCTCCCCCACCGGGTATACCCACACAGACCCCTTCAGAAGACTCGGTAGGATCATTTCCTCCTCTCCCCCTTCCCCTCCCTCTTTCCCTCCTCTCCTCACTCCCTCAAGAGAGAAGAGTCCTTGCAAACATCAAGATAGAGTGAACGAGGTGCGCAATCCCCATCCATGACTTGATAACAGATGATAAATAAACCCATCCCAGCAAGGGCATGGTTGCAAAATGGGCCAAAGAAGCAGAATAGGCTCGCGACAAGGATGAAGCAAATGTCACAAGCTCAAATTCGAAAAAAATAAAGATTTGCTGCATCGCAGCCATTCAAGCAAAACTATCAAGAGGAGAAGATTATGCAGAGAAATAAACTGAACAACTTTTGCCTTGGGTCACATCGAAATTCTTTACCGAATTTAAAATCAAAAATAAAATTAAAGACAACCCCAATCTTTTTCCTTTTTTTTTTGTGCTTTGAACTGTTGAAAATAGTGTTGACCGGGCCCGGACGTCCACGACCCCCCTGACTGTCCGGCCAGGACGTCCTGCCATCGGACAACAGGTAGCCCAGTGATAAGGACAATAACGTTAGTGGGTAATACAATTTCCAAAAAAAAAAAAAAAAAAAAGCCTTTTAGAAACAAAAGAACTTAAAAGAAGAGTTAAAAAAACGATGGGCCTAGATCAGTTGGTACACCCATGAACTGTTGAAATAGTAGAAATACATGTCGGAGTTCGAATCCAGATGCAACCAGATGACCAGAACAATATCATTCTGAATTACCTGGGGCTGGTCAGTTGAATGATGATATATCAAGGCTGTCAGATCCTTAAAAAGAAAGAACAAAGAGGGAAGAAAAAGGGAAAAAAAAGAACTCAGAAAAGCAAAAAAGTTGTACTGCATAATTGCTTGCTTGCCCCCACAAGATCATGGGGGCCTTCTGAGGATAAACAATAGGGGACAGCATTACACAGCAGTTGAGCGAGTACTCAGTTCAAGCGCCGACTCGATGAGAGAATGTTCGCACATTATACTTGGCCTCGACCATCGTCTTGACGTGCAGGTCATTGTGCTGCACGACATACAGATCGTACGCACTGCGCTTCGTGACCACCAGAAGTTTCCGCACAGCACGATTCATCCTTTCCGGTTGATGTGTCTGTAGGACGACTGAAGTGAGTAATCTGCCAACCTGGCAGATGGTGACAAATATGACACCTTACCGCAGCATCTGCATAACAAAATTCTCAAAATCGGCAGAGAAGTCAACAAGTGACATAAAAATGTCAGTCCGTGACAGGCTCTATTTTTTTATTTTAGTACCTTTCTTTTACAACATCTTTTCTACTGAAATGTAGGTCCAGTTGTCAGAAAGTCATGTGCAAGGAACCAATCAATGGGGGCTCAAATTTTCAGAGCTGCAAAAGGCTCGAAGTAGGACAAGCATCGGAGAGCAAAGTCGAAAACAGAATTAGAACACCGAGAGCACACCAAATCAGAAGATTCACAACACACTGAACAACAAAGTCTCTTAACAGTGAAATCCCAATCATCACTATAACGAAAAACGTAGCACTCTACTATGACGTGGCTGTCGATGTTACTCTCCTACTCTCTCCATAAACCTCCTACGTCTCCCTCTCACACTCTCTCTATCCAGTGCCTCCAAATGAGTGGAATGTGGCAGCCTCCTCCCTGTTGTCACCTTCTAGACGCCGGTCTGTGTGGAGTGGAAATGAATACTTCCCAGACTGAGAACCTCCTGGACTGTGTACCAGCGACCTGGCCTCTGCAACTGACTGAGAGGCAGGACCTGGGGCCCAGCCTTTTTTTCCAACTGTATCATGCTAGCCTTCACTTAGGGCTGGCTCATTTTGGCTGCTGTGTGGCCTTCTCTTAGGGACGCGTGAGCTTGTCACACGCGGGCCCTTTCTGCGGGCACACGGAGGCCTGAAGCCTCGCATTGCC